TTCCGAGTGGTTTTTGTACCCTATTTTTTTCTGTTTCTTCGTGGGGTCGTGTATGCCGGGTTTTGAGACCACGGGCTCCCAATCTTTCTTTTTTAGAGCTAATGTGAGAAACAACAACAACAACACCACCCCTGCGAAAACAATTCAAGTTTTTCCGGTTTTGCGCCGATAAAAAGTCAAGAAAAAAAAAAATCTCCGTCACGCGATGCGCCTGCAAACAGGGCGTTTTCCGGTACTTTCAGATTTCGGAACAACCACCTGTGGGCAGAGAAAAGTTGTCATTTGTGCTAGGAAAATTTTGGATTTTTTGGTGTGCACCGACTACAATATAGATCCCAGAATTCGTCGCAACTTGCGACCACGGGAATCGACCCGCGTCAAGTGCGGCTGCTGTACGTAGATCAGGGCGGACACCTGGGTAGAGAGATCGGGACGGTTTTGAATGTATGTGTGACGACACCAACAATAATCTACCGCGGACTCTTATCTGCTGCAGCAGGTCAGCAGTATACGGAGTACACATCGGTCGGGCCGCTTTTTCGTAGATTACGTGTAGTCTAGATTGTCGTATGCAAAGTATGCATAGACGCGCTAGTGTGACGCTCTGCCCGCCTCCACAATCTTCGTAAATTTGGTACGTAGATGGTGTAGCCCAAGACCGCTTCCGACTTCCGAAGCAGCAGCAAAATATGTTCGCTGCTGTTGCACAAGACAGAAGGGTAGCGAGCCTGCTCGAGGCGTTGGCCGTGCACCACCTTTCTTTCACTCCCCACCTCCACTTTCTACCCCCCGCACCGTTGTCACTTTCATCACCCCAACTCGCAGCCTGCTAAGGGCCAGGTCATGGGTTCGAGTCCCGGCAGGGAGAGTTTTTTTCTCACTAAATAAATCCTGGTCTAGGATGAAAGCGACGCGCTGCAAAGCTCGTTTGTTAGTAAACCATAATCGACTTCGTAAGTCGCGAGGGAAGGGATTGCTGTACCCTTCTCGCGATAAAAATACCTCAGGCATGAACCGCAGGAGGGGGTCCAACCCCCCCCTCCTATGTGACCCCGGTTGGGTCGTCTAGCCAGTAGAAGTGGAGGATAGGGGCCAGAGGGGCAGACGGCAGAGTCCAATGATGGGAGAGAAACAAAACAAAAAAACAAAAAAACTCTGTATCTTGCCAGCCACCATGGTAGAGACCCAGCAGCCCCAACAGCTCCAGCAGCAGCAGCAGCAGCAGCAGCAGCAGCAGCAGCAGCAGCAGCAGCAGTAGCCACAACCAACCAGCGTAACTGCTCCCGAGGCAGTGGTTGTCCAACAGCGGGGGGGCTGCTGCAGCAACGTTCCGCCCAACGTTTCAAGCGCTGTGGAAAATGTGAGGGCAAAATGGGATTGACAACGTGTACCGCTGCTGCGAGGGCGTTGATGCCTTGTGCATGATCTCATTCGGCAGCAGGGAAGGTCTACTTCTACAATTATAGTTACTTTTCTCAAGTTTTTCCTCTTGCCGTCGCATGCCGGCACCGTTCGGCGCGCTCGCGAACTACCCTTCAAAGTTGTCATCTGTTTTTATTTTTGCTGGTGTGGTTTGCAATAACACCGCCGACCAAGCCCCCAACCTTGACTCCTCGTCGGTACACCCCTGAACCTTTAGACTATACCCTGGACTGTAAAAATCGGTACCGTAGACGTGTCGTCTCTGTATGACACATAAAATACAGAACGCGCCACAACTCACTGAAAGAACTTACTCCAGTTTGAACTTGTTATACAGACGCTCAGTTCCGACGTGGCATTAACTCTCCTTATTACAGCAGTAGTACTTTGTGGTACCCAGTCCCTCCGCATTAATTATTGTCGCAAAACTGTTTGTCAGCCATTGGTCGAGGGGTTACAGTCCCTCCAAAGAATCTGAGCTCCTTTGCCAGACAAGGGTGACTTGGCTTCGGCATAAAAAGTGTCCCCAAAACATGTGGGGACACTTTCATCCTGAAAGCAAGTCAGAAAATCTTTCCAGTACCAGGCGATGTACAGTTTTACGACCTAGGGTGAACGCGGGTTGGGAGATCAGATGTGTACAGCAAGCCAGAGGACCGGGAGAGGTATCACAGAGCTACTAGCTATCACACAGCGTACCACCTAACTCAAGCATGATAGACCAAGGCTTCTCACGTGCGTTGCACACAGCGCAGCCTAGGGTGACTACAGTGCGGTAAATAGGTATTTGAGCGCTGTGTCCGCAAAGTGTCCCCATTTGGGCTTCCAGTACTAGGAGGGTTAATGAACCCGCCCTTATGTTGTACCAATGCGCATACCGATAAGAACGGAGCTCCAAAACGCAGAGGCTGCAAGATCGGAACTCAGGAAGGTTGGGGGTGACCCAAGCAACAGTTTGTTTCAGAATCGAGGCGGTGGGGGGGAGAGGACCTCGTGATAACATGCTTGTACGCGCGGAGGGGGAGGGCGTACTCTCTCATATTTCGCATACCTTCACGTTTTGTCCATGGACCACACGTCCTCGAGGACGCGTCATTGTTCCCACAGGATCAGTCACCAATGGCCACACGTCCCTGTAACTTTCCTTCTAATTCCCAACTCAATCATGTACATCTCTCTGTCCTTCTCACCCAACACGGACGTTTCGCAACGACATGAACCCGGTGTTCGCACTCGGAGCCGCATTCACTTTATTCTTCATCGTCTTCCTTCCTGGATCTTCGTCTACGTCAAAGGGCTAACCAACCTCATGTATGTACCTATACCTTCTTTCAACATCCGTACACATCTAGACCCTCGGATCTTGTTGTTAGCTTGTGTTCGCTCGCGGCGAAAGTAGCAGATTTCTTGTTCTCGAACCCCTATAGACCTACCGTTCGTTTCCAATGGATGAACCTCATCGACTCTTCCATACGTTATCTACAACCGCAATCCACTCCCCGGACCCCTATTCTTGTTGTTTATCCACTTCGCCCCCAAGCTTCTCTCGGCAACCTCTCCTCTCCCATATGATACAACATACGGTACTACTTGCCATGTTAGCTTCCTTTTACGCCTGTTCCCGATCTTAGGAATTGGATCCGAAGGGGGGGCGTATTCTCTCTCAAGTATTGGACGACTCAGTGGTTAGACCATTGACCACGAGTTTTCACATTGTTCCCACAAGACCGATCGCCGATGGCCAATCATTCCTTCCTGCTTTTCCAAAAAAGTGGCTCAAAATGTTTCCCTAGCTTATCCATCCTATCGACATCACCTCCCGCCTTTTCAACCCATTTCCTATGCCCCAGTACAGCTACCGTCTTCTCCTGGCTATAACATGCGTCAAACATTTCTCTGCACCTTTCCCTTCTATTTTTCCCATGTCAGCCATGTACACTTCCCTCTTCTTGTACAACGGACGTTCCGCAACTAAATGAGCACGGTCTTCGTACTCGGAGCCTCATTCGCATGTGGATTTGTCGTTTGGTTCTCGCTCTTTCGTGTTTCAAGACGTACGGATGTTCCTCGGTCAACCTGGGCACACACGGGATGCCCCGCAGACAGTTCGACGGTTGACGTATGTTTTTAACAAATACACTCTTCTGCAGCGGGGTGATATGGACGATATGTACCGGTCGGCGCCTCTTTGACTGGGATTTATTTGTGGCAGCGGGCGAGAAATGCAAGGGGCCATCCCCCCTCCTGCATTCGTTCCCGGCTCCTCTTTTTCCTCCACCTTTGGCCTTCAGTGACTCACAACCTCTCCGCCTACGAGCATGTTCGATCACCACCCTCGGATAACGTTCGCCGTGTATTTTTCATCGTCAAACTTGCGCTTGGTTGTAGTTCTGAGGCTACCTCCTCATCAACTCCAGAATCAAGCCATTTCTTCCAGAGGACAGAGGGGCAGTAGCCCCCCGCGCCCTTGGAATTGCATAGACTTACCGGGCTTCGCTTCGTCCTCCCGTTAACACACATACGTTGTAGACTACAAGGTCTTGCTTCGACATGCTTTGGCTTCGGGCGTCCCCCATTAGGATAACAAACACTACAGGTATTTATGCTCAGCTTGTCTGAAGCGTGTCGCTGTGTCTGTTTTGAAGTTGTGATTGAATCAATGATGGAACCAAATGTCATATGATGCGCATCATCATTTGACCAGACTAACAATTTCTCGATAGGCTGCAAACTCCCGTGGAGCTATTTTTGAACGCGATACACGACACAGAGGGGCGAGAGCCCAACGACTTAAGAAGGAACATGAGAAGGTCTTCAGGTGCATTCGATCAGCTAGTTATCTTTGGCAACGGGAAATATGTTTGAGACCTGCATGCGGGCTCTCTCTTACCTGGTCTAGCGAATTTGCGTTTGATCGGAACCCGCAACCGGAGCGACTTCTTGGGCTTCAACGTTGGTTCGCCGGCCTTTCTCTTCGCGGAAATCATCTCCTGGAAATAGAGCCAATACCGTGACGTAGGTGTCGAGCACACATGCCGCGGATGCCTTCCGAGCTTCGGGTATCAAGGGTACCGTACTGATGAGCCTCTTGCGCGCCCGTAAGAGGGAAGCATGAGAAAATGTCGACCTCCACCAGAGAAAGGTGGGCCGAAACAACGAAAACACCCAGACGTATGTACATAAAATACAGCCGCGTTGCACACCGTTGACGAGATATCGCACGAAGTCTACGAGCCAACAACCTGACCAATGGGGAGGGGAAAACTCCGCCCGGCGGATGTTTGAGAAAATTCACCCCAGGTGGCTCTCCTTCCCCTCCTCCCGAAACTGTTGTCGGTTCTCCTCTGGGTGGGCCGGAGAAGAAGGTACCTCCTCCGATGGCGGCGGTACGGAAGGACCGACTTGAGCTCCGATGCGTTGCGCTTTGAGATGTAGCAGATTCTGCGTAGGACGATGCGCTACCCGAGGAGGCACCGCCCCCGGCCCCACCCAGAGAACAGGCAGCACGAGAGAAGCAGGAAGACGNNGTTGCCAAGCGACGAAAACCCAATCCCGATGGCAAACACCGAGGGGGAGAGGGGGGGGGGAAAGGTTTCCCTCTTCTCTCTAGGAAGTAAATGTTATCTTCACAGTCGTCTTCGTGCAATATCTCGTTAACCGTGCGAAACACGTGTGTCAGTTTCTTCTGTGATTTTTTGCGCATGTGTGCTTGAAGCTTGAAGGCCGTGAAATATTAAACACGGCACAGTCAAAGTGCCGAGAATACCTCCGAACCGACCACTACGACCCAGTCCTTGACGTCCAAGCAACGGCACGGCGATTGGAAGTGACTCCCCTGTGTTGGCACTCCGCTCCTGCGTCGTGTGTGTGCTCCTGCTCTGCGTCTGGTGTCACTGTGCTGCGGGAGAAACATTTCCCGCCGAGAGAAAAAAAAAACATAATCGATTCTCGTTGTTAGGGAATCGTTAGCGAAATGAAAGCCGGTGGGAAGCGCGTTTGGGCGCCAACCGCGCGGGTTCGGTGGGCGCGGGAGCCATCGCGAAGGATTCCGATGGCCCCAGTGCCCGACCTCGGCGTACGAATGGGGTGGGAGGAAGCCCGGTCTCGTGGCGGGGGGGGGGGGGGGGGG